AATGTGAAGATTCTAACAGCACATATGATCGATATGCCTAAACTTAAAATTTATACGAATTTATATTTGTACAACTTTATATTTTTAGATAATTTAATTTACTCATAAGTAAAGAAACTAATTATTTTAATAGTGAAGTAAAATTTTATTTTAAATAAGATTTATTCTCAACTTTTAATTGACAAACGAATTAGCCCCCGTTTATTTCCCATTATTTACCCGTTAAAATGAAAAATATGATCATCATCTATCACATCAAGCCACCATATTTGACTTTTTATCTCTTGTGTAGGGCTCGTAAAATATGATCATTATCTCTTGCAGAATATCTTATTGTGTGAATGTGTAGTTGAAAATGACTATATAAAAAAAAAGTTTTCAAATAATAATTGTCAAACAAGGGCTTGATTGGAAAAAAAATATTTTAACAGTGATCTTTTTGGAGACAGTGTAACTAAAAAATAGGAACAATTTTAGATTTACATACAATATTTTATTTTATGGATATCTAGTTAAAAATGATTATTTAAAAAAGAAAAGAAAAGAGTTTTCAAATAATGATTGTCAAACAAGAGCTGAATCTTGAGGTATCCAAATCTATTTTCCAACGTTTTTTATTACAAAACTATTGTTTTACATCTTGTAACATATTGCTTTATAGTTTTTGTAGTGACTGTAATACAATGTGTTATACGTGTAATAAAGTGTGTTGCCCATTTAATATACCACGTTATACTCATTTGCTACATGTATCCACCATTACCACCACCTACATGCTTGAAATTGAGTGGTTCACTATCACCGTTGTCGACCACCTCCACCACACACTGTTACCTTCACCACAACCATTATCACATGGTATTATTGTTGTTGTTGCAGGTGACACTACTCATGGATGGGCAATGCATGTGGGACCCCACAAAATTTTTGATATTTTGATTTTTTTTTTGGTCAAAAAATTTGTAGACAAACTATAGACCGTGAAGGCTTTGGACGAGGAAGAAAAATACTCCATCTCAACTTCTTCAAACCCAGGTCGATTTCTCTATCTTTCTTGCTCTAAATTTCATTATAATCAAATTTAATTTTTGTGTTTTTTAATTCCCCTAAAATCTCAAATGTGTTCTGATTATTTCTTTGATTTTTTTATCTTTTTCTACTATTACCGAAAAGGAATTTGAAAGTTTTGTTTTCATACTTAATACAAATTGGTATTGATTGATTTCTAGAGTTGAAATGAATTTGATAGTAAAGTTTGAATGGGCAAAATTTAGAATGTGTTTGATTGACGTGAAAAATATAACTTAGAAAAGAAAATGTTTTCCTTGTTTTGAAAAAAATAAAAACCACCCCACCCAAGGAAAATATTTTCCTTAAAAACAAGGAAAATTGGCATATTTTCAAAAGTTGAAATATGTTTTCCATGAAAAAAAATAGCAATCAAACACTCTGAGTAAGAATTTGGATGGAAAACTGATATTTTTCATGAAAAATAAATGTAATGAAACACACCATTAAAGTGTTTGTTGATTAAAATTGAGGTTTGTTAAAAATAAAAATTAGATTTTGTTAATTATTTACATTGAAATAATGCTGTCAAAATCTAAGTTTATTGATATCTAGTTTTGTTTCTTTCTATGTACTAATTTTATTTTTGATTTTCTATTAGTAAAGTTTGCATGGGCAAAATTTAGAGTGTTTGTTGGTTAAAATTGAGGTTTGTTAAAAATAAAAATTAGATTTTGTTAATGTTGTCAAAATCTATCTAAGTTTATTGATAGCTAGTTTTGTTTCTTTCTATGTACTAATTTTATTTTTGATTTTCTATTTTTTTTATGTTATTATTTCTGATCGACGATATGAGATTTTGACATTGCAATTGATTTTGACATAATGTTTGAAATTATAGGTTTTAGTGTTTATACTTGATTTTCTTTCCTTTTTTTTTTTTTTCCTTTAGACCTTTTTTCATCCAAATTTGTTTTATGATCATTGGAGTTGTTGTGATAATTGGAATTCTTGTTGCATGGTGTTGAGAGTAGATTTAAATATATAATATATACTACACTGTTGTAAATCGCTCTTGGGGCTTTAGTCAAATTCAGAATTAGACACCTAGTGCCAATAATTGAAGCCTAACATCATTGGATTGCTAGTTCCACTCAAGCGTCCTCAATTTTTTGACCCCACTACAGATAATGTCTGTCTACCATTCATTTTTCACCACTATCATTTTGCTCAGAATGAAAGATCCATCAGCAACATTACCCACCACCATCACCTAGATCAATAAATCAAATCACTCGCAACCCAATTTCGAACCACTACTGCTAAACAGATCTATCATTTAACCCACCACCATCATCGGAATAGGCCACCCCATCACTGCTATTCCTCACTATCTCCACCATCAGGCTCTTATCATGCCATCTATAAATTTTTAGATGCCGAGAGGGACGATGGTTGCTTTTTTTGGTGTGATTTGGCAGCGACAATTAGTCTCGTGGTTGTGTGTATTATGTGATTATTTATAGGGTTTGGATTGAAGGCTGTTTATTTTTTCTATTTAGTGAATGTTTGGCATTGATTTTTCTTCCCATATTTTTTTTTAAAATTATTATTTTACTATTCCAATCGTTATTTTCGACTTTTTCTGTCACTGGTAGGACTCACTTTTCTAGCTGAAAGTCAAAAAATCAATTCTCAAAATTACTATTAACATCTTGTTTGGGAGGGATTTTTTTACCCAAAAACTTGATTTTTTTTACCGTTATTTCACTATCCCAATCGTAATTTTTGACTTCTTCTCTCACAGGTGGGCCCCACTTTTTTTTTAATGGTCAAAAAATCAATTCTTAAAATCTCTCCCAAACGGAGCTTAAACAGGCTCTTATTAAAAAAAAAAAAAGGGTTGGAATAAAAAAAAGTTTAAAACTTGAGGGAAAAAAATAGACGATAGTTGACATAGTGTCCTCTTAAAAAATTGAAACCCGACTGAAAATTTTTCAATTAATTTTTTTACTTTTTCAAATCAACGTTGAATTCATTATTAAAACATTGTTTAGCCTCTGTTTGGATTTCATTTTATTTGCTAAATTTTACTTTCAAGAAATACATAGTCGATGAGTGATAATACTTGTAAGGTCTATGAAATGTTTGATTAATATTAATATTTGTCTTTAAAAAAGTAAAATTTAGGAGAAGAAAATAAAATCGATTGATTTTTTTGTCTAAGATCCCATTTGACCTTTATTTTTTAAACCTATTTTCAATCATATATTTCAGAAGTCTATAACTTATCGATTTTTTTAGGATTTTGCTGCTCATCCAATGTCAGGCGCCATCCAATAAGGGAAGCCACATAGGTACCCCGTGGCTTTGGATTTCTAGCAGATCTCGATTTTTTAATCACAGATTTTATTAAGAGTTTGTTTGGGAGTGATTTTGAAAATTGATTTTTTGACCTTTAGGAGAAAAGTAGGGTCCACCCGTGAGAGAAAAAGTCAAATACGAAAGTTGAAATAGTGAAATAACAATCAAAAAATCAATTTTTTGGGCCAAAAAATCACTCTCAAACAAGCTGTAAAGGAAAATTTCATAATTAAGAAGATAAGAATCGCTTATTTCAAAACTAAGAACAAAAGTTTCAAATTTCAAAAATCAAATTTTTATTAAAATTTAGTTATGATTTAATTAATTTAATATATTATGTTCACAGATCTATACAATTTGATAAAAAATTAACGATATAGTTAATCATATATTATTTTTCGGTCATGAGTCAAAAATTTTATAGGTCACAAATAAAAAAAAAAATTGAGTCACAATTTATTTATCAATCACAAATCACAAATTTTATAAGTCATAATTTATTATACAGTTAAAAAAATCAAGGTCACAAAGTAACAAAATTTTAGATCACGTATTATTTTTTGTCACAATTTATCTTTTTTATTGGTAACTGATTAACCAATTTAACGGTCACGGTCAACAAAATTATTTGTGAGTACCACCTCACCACTGTTATCAGCCGCAACACCACAAAAACTGCAATGCACCAGAACCACTACCGCCATTCTCACAGCATCACAAAACCATCACTGCCACACCCACAACATCACAGAACCATTACCACCACACTCCATATCATTATAGAACTCACCGCACCATCGTCACAACCACCACCGCCATACTTACAGCATCACAGAACTTACCTAACCACCATACCCACATCATTACAATAGCACACCACTGCCACCTCCAACCCCATCTTACCATTTTGGGCACCACCAAATCCAGCCAAAACCCCCATCATTCATGGCCTGCATGACCACCACAGCTGTGACAGTGTAGATCTGCCACCACTACGCAACCACTACCTCTACTAAGCAATTTGCTAGCTGTTATTGCCACTACAATCACCACCTGTAAACACCATCCACAAAAAAAATCCCAAATCATTACACAACCACCGCATCGACTACGACTTTGACGATTCCGACGGCGCTATTGCTCTGTGTCATGCGTGAGGCGTCACACGACGAGCATAATGTCACTCGCAGTTGCTATAGCAACGCTAGGCAACATTGCTACTTTGGCTTCCGACGATGCTATTGCTGTGTGTCATTGCCTACTATGCGTTGACAGTAGGTTTCTCGACGATAGTAGAAGAGAGATGACAGAGGAATGAAAATTGATTTTAAGGTTAGGGTTAGAATGTGGGTGGGGTGGAGTGGTAATATAGATTAAATTATTTTCTGATTTTTGAATAAATAAACCTTGCATCTCATTTTTTAAGTTGGATCTTAAAACATATGGATGTGTGTAATTTTCACTTTTATTATTTTTTATCAAAACCAAACGCGGCTAGAAAAATCATTTGACTTTTGTCTGAACCAAACACGGGCCCAACATTATAAAGGTCCAAAGCTCCACAAATAATTCGAAATTATAGCCGTTTTAACATTTTATACGGGTTTCTTGAAAAAATACCCGTAACCAATTCAAAATCCCTTAGCGCGATGCATTGCTCCTAATTTCAAATTGCAGATCTCATCTTAGCCGTCTAACTTGATCACCATCCTACTTTTTACCTGCAAATTTGAAATAGTTAATACATTCACTCAGTGAGGAGAGAGAGGGGGGTCCTTCAGTAACGAAGAATACCCAGTGAAATCTCAAGAGAAAAATGGAAAGAAAATCATACATATAGTAAGTTTTTTTTATTCAAGGTTTAGCTGAAATCCACAAAAGAACCAGCTGAATGCGAGCTCCTTCGTATTCTACATAAGTGAGAAAAAATTTCGGGATTTCGTGGTTTTGGAGCTCTTTTCTCCGTTTCCTCTTACAGGTATACCTCCAAGAAATTAAGAATTGTTCAAATATCCCTTTCTGTTTTGTAATTTCTGTTTGGATTTCTGGGGGTTACAGAATGTTGAGGGATTTCAAATTTTTGCGCCGAAATTCCGGCAAGAATCCCAACAAAGAGGAAATCGAGAATGTCCCTGTAAATCCCAGGGACTCTTTGGGTCCTCAGATTATCAGAGATTCTCCGAGGCCCCCTCTATATGCAATTCAAGAACCAATCCAGATTTCTAAAGGTAGTATAGATCAGAAATTGAATGGTGTTAAGGTTAATAAAACTGATAGAACCCCCATGAAGCCGAAGGCTAAGAAGTCAGATTCAATGCCGCTTTCCACACCCGAAAAACAAGGGCTAGTGTCAAAAAATCACTTTGGGTGGGCCCAGAAGAGTGATTATTATTCGAGTTCTAGTGTTGTTGAGTCGAGGGAGGAGGGAAGGGTGGCGGAGAATATGAATACTCCGCGGTCTACCAGGATGGTTGGAAGGGCCAATTCAAGTTACACAGAGTGTAATTCGACTCAAAGCACGCCCAATAAGAGCGTAATCAAGCCTCCAAATCCCGGTTTCTGTTTAGCCAGTGGTTCTAGGCCTCCTGCCAGTGGGGCTGCTCGGATTACCAACTTTGCTGCACTTTCTAAAGGGATTCCAAGTTCTTCATACTCTGCATCTGTTGTTAATACGGTTGAGGTGCCCCATTTCGAACTCAGGGAAGATCCATCTTTTTGGATGGAACACAATATACAAGTAAGCTTCTTTTCTGCAAATTGCATCTTGATTCTAAAATTCCTGTCATTTTTATCTAAGAATATTTATAATTGCATTATTCTTTATGTCAAATTCTCTATATTTATTATGTTATTTTAATAAATATTTTATAGGTTTTGATACGAGTGCGTCCTCTTAATAACATGGAGAAAAGTACTTATGGTTACAGTAGGTGCTTGAAACAAGAGACTGCACAGTGCATCACCTGGATAGGGCAACCCGAGACCCCATTCATGTTTGATCACGTAGCCTGTGAAACTATAGAGCAGGTCCAAAGAGATCAAACACACTCTCAAATTCAAAAAAAGTTTTGTGATAAGACTGTTTACGCTTTTATACCTCTTGTTGAAATTTGCAGGAGACACTTTTTAGAATGGCTGGCTTGCCCATGGTAGAGAATTGCTTGTCTGGGTACAATAGCTGTATGTTTGCATATGGGCAGGTAAAATGATGGACTTGTTTGCATAATTATTTCACATAATAACGTTAGTTCAAAAGTTGTTGGTGATTCAAAACTTCTAACAACATACCAAGAAACCTTTTTTGCATTTGGTTTTGCAGATTTTTTTGTTCACATGTAAAGAATGAGCTTCTTGTTTTCATCTGTAGGCATTGTATTAATTTGATGAATCAAAAATGATGTTGGACCTATTTCTTGAAAGGGAAACTTATTTTTCTTTCCTTCTTTTTCCTCTATTTCACCTCTTGGTGTTTGTTCTAGTTTCTGATATTTCTAAATTTTCCAGATGCCAGTTTTAGTGTAATCTGCATGTAAATAGTCTCAATCAGTTCTGTAATCTTGAATATAGAAGTTTCGAGCAATGGCTGGAGAACCTTCAACTTAATTTTTTCATTCTTGTGTCTGAAATTCCTATTTATTTTGACTCCAAGTAGGCTTTCTCTTTATTTTTCTTGTTTCTGTTTACTAGCTTAAGCGATAGTCTTGTTTTTTTCCTCGAATATCTTCGTAAAATGATAGTTACTATTGTTTAAGCGCTGTTATGGACCTCGCTTTCTTGAAAATACGCATCAGTTACAGTTTCTTTTTCCCTGTGATATCATCCATTATAATGGATTAAATTAGTGCAGACAGGTAGTGGGAAGACATACACAATGCTTGGTGGGATTGAAGAGCTAGAAGTCAATCCTAGTCCAAATCGTGGAATGACCCCACGTATATTTGAATTCTTGTTTGCAAGAATTAGAGCAGTAAATTCAACCCTCTTTGACTCCATTTGCTAAGTCACCTTCTAATATAAGCATTTTCATTGCAATAAGACACTTCTTTCGCGTGTTTTACTTTTCAGGAGGAGGAAATCAGAAGAGATGAACGACTAATATACAATTGCAAATGCTCCTTCCTGGAGATTTATAATGAACAAATATCTGATCTTCTTGATCCTTCATCCACAAATCTGATGGTACTTTTACCTTTTTGATAGGATATTTTGGCGCTTCAATTGTTAAAAGATTATATTATTGTTTCCTCATATTCATCATCTCTATTTTTAGCTACGTGAGGACATCAAAAAAGGCGTGTATGTTGAAAATCTATCCGAATTTGAGGTGCAAACTGTAGGCGACATTCTTCAGCTTCTGAGTCAGGTGACTATTTTCACTGTCTTTTAGTTTACTCTGATTACAATCTTCAAAGATGCATGTGTGCATGCACAATGTATGTCTCTATGCATTAAAATTTGAGTTTTGCTTCAGGGTTCAGCAAATAGGAAAGTTGCTGCGACAAATATGAACAGAGAAAGTAGCCGCTCTCATAGTGTTTTCACATGTGTGATTGAGAGTAGATGGGAAAAGGATTCAACCACTAACTTCCGTTTTGCTCGACTGAACCTTGTTGACCTTGCGGGTTCCGAAAGGTTTACATCATATTCTAGTCAAATTCTGAAATAGATGGGATATCTCGTGCTATCACATTATTTACACATTGCTATTACCCTTAACAGGCAAAAGACTTCTGGTGCTGAGGGTGAGCGTCTAAAGGAAGCTGCGAATATCAATAAATCACTGTCAACACTAGGGTATTTCATATAATTGACAAGCTATCTATTATCTTTATATGGATGACCTTGCAAGTGAACACTGGCCGTACTTTTGCAGTCATGTAATAATGGTCCTAGTGGATGTAGCACATGGGAGACCAAGGCACATTCCATATAGAGATTCAAGGCTGACATTTCTACTTCAGGTGCTTTTTTAACCATTGTCTTTTATATCATTTTGTGGACCTGTATAAATCACATCATTGTGTTTGATATATGAAAATACAGGATTCTCTGGGTGGAAATTCGAAAACAATGATTATAGCTAATGTCAGCCCATCTATTTGGTACTTTAATATGATTTTTTCTTGTAATGACGCTTCTTTTATTTTTTATTTTTGCAAATGATTAGCTTTATTTCATTTTTTTCTGTGTATCTGACTAATGAAAATGCTAAATTTAATTTCCTCAGCTGTGCATCAGAAACGCTGAACACTTTAAAGTTTGCTCAACGAGCAAAACTTATTCAGAATAATGTAAGCTTGTTTAAGCTGGATGATGCAATGGACTTTTTAATTGATGGCAAAGTTGATATATTCACTTGCTTTTTTTCCTTTTTCATGACAAAGGCTGTCATCAATGAAGATTCATCAAGAGATGTTGTCTCACTGCAACATCAGATACGATTGCTAAAGGTGGTAGCTAGTTTCATTTGGCTCTCCCATTCTAGAAATTGATCACAAAACTAATTTACAATCAAAACTCATGATTTGTTGTTGTAATAGGAAGAGCTTTCTGCTCTAAAACATGAAAAGGTTTCTCGGTCATTATCATTTGGTCCAACTATAGAAAGAGATGCAAGGAACAAAGATGAAGATGGTCATAGTGAAAGGATGTCTGAAACAGATCACCGGGGTAATTTACTTATAAAAGCACCTGAAGGTGTTCTCAGAATGTCTTGTAAACAGGTATAGCAAGTTGTAATTTGCGCTTCTTCTTTTTTCCCACAGTTTCTTCCCTCGGTTCCATTGCTGGATATTTATTGCTCATGGTTGAAAGCAAATGACAGGCAGTTCGAGTTAATAGATACCTAAAATATGCACATTTAATTTAGTCTTCAATCTCAAATTATCTGAGCATAGCCAGTTTGATAACATGGTCAATTACTAAGTTCAATTAATTGAACATGTCAAGGCAAAATGAGAATCTAAATGGACAAATTTAAAATTGACCTATATCTCTGACGTCCTTTTTATCTCCTTCTTACAATGTGTTTTCTTTGAAAGAAAAGTTTTGACATGTTGCCTTATGTTTTTCATTTTCTTCTTTTTGCCAATGTTTCCACAGTTAAAATCATTGGAAGCTACACTTGCTGGTGCCATAAGGAGGGAACAAATGGCAGGGACTTCCATTAAACGGCTTGAAGCTGAAATCGAGCTCTTGAATCGTCTGGTAACTCTCCCCCTCTTTCTCATTTATGGCACGACAGGTGTTGCTGGAAATAAATGAAGAGTTTATTTTGAGTTTAGCTATTTAGAGAGCTAAATTTCATGATGACATTGCTTTTCAGGTTAGTCAAAGAGAAGAGGATACCAGGTGCACAAAAATGATGTTGAAATTTAGAGAAGACAAAATTCAAAGAATGGAGTCTCTACTTGGTGGATTCACCTCAGCAGATGCTTATTTGCTGGAAGAGAACAGGGAATTTTCAGAAGAAATTCAGCTGCTGCGTGCAAGAGTTGATAGAAATCCAGAAGTGACGCGCTTTGCAGTCGAAAATATTAGGCTTCAAGAGCAAGTTAGACGGTAGCTTTTTTGAAAAAAAATACAATCTTATGCAGCTTGGCTTTATTCACAAGTTTTTTATTTTATTTCAAAAATTGTTCATTGGAATTTATAGATTTCAAGACTTCTATGAAGAAGGCGAGAGAGATATGTTGTTGGCTGAAGTATCTGAATTGCGGAACCAGGTACCTTATCTATCCAATTGTCCATGTCTTTTTTATGCTTCTCAAATTAGCTTATGCCTTTGACCCAGAATTTTTCCCTTTGGCAGCTGACTCTCTTCCTTGATGGAAATTCGAGGCAGCAAAGCCATCAAAACACAAGTATAGCGTCTCATGTAAAAATTTAAAGAGACCTGTTTACTGTTTTTTCATGTCTCCTCTGGAAAAGAAGATTCAGGTCCACTGATTTTGCAGAAGCCTTAACATCTCTTTGTTTCCATTGACAGGCTGCTGTTCATACCAATGAGGAAAATAATTCACTCCATGTTGAGGTTGGGTGTTATATTCCTGAAAACATTGTTTATTGTAAGATTTATTTTGTCGACCTTGACTTCTAATATGTAATTTTCTTATACAGTTGAAGAGGACTATGTGTGAATTAGAGGAAACTCGGAGTAAGCTAGAAAACAATGCAATGCTCAAAGGGTAAGAAGTTTAATTCATTTACAATTTTATTTTTATTTTTTTTATTTTTTATTGTAAGATCTTCTTCGTCCATTCCTTGTTGTAACTTTTGTTTGTGCTAATATTGTTCAGGGAAATTCATGAGTTGAATACATCATTGAATGCCATCGAATATGCAACTCAAGAGCACGACTCCAGTCCTGAATTCTTGAAGGTACCATTGTCTTTTCTTTTAAGAGCGGAAGATAAGAAAGGGCACGATTTTTACTTCCTTGCACGATTTTATTATCAAAGTTTTGAGACACCAAATTTTCTCTAGCATTTTCCATGACTAACTTAATAAGGGATTCTTCTTATTATTATTATCTCCATCTGCTGCACAGCACTGTAGAATATCTTTTGTGATGATTTTACATAATGATACATTTCATGCCGTTTGTCAAAATTTATAAATAAGCCATAATTGTCAAACTTTATTTTCAACCACACATTCCAATTGACCCCGAGTACTATCCACCTTCCATTTCTATCTATTTATAAATTGATCCGTTTATAAATCTTTCTCAAACAGAGGCTAATTTTTTTATTTTTTGCTCACTAGAAGGTTTAGGCGAATATGTCTAGCAAATAAAATTTTCTGGTCGTCTTTACTTTTTGTTTAGAAAATTTAAAAAATGATGATGGCTACTCTTTCAGAAATCAGTAAAGAAAGTTCCAATTTTCAATGATCAGATAATATTGTCCAAGGAGCAAGAGAAGGACCAAACTAGGCACACAACTCTTATGATGCGCGAAGAAGATGTTGTGGATTTACAACTGGAGTTGGACATTTTGAAAATTATTCTAAAAGAAGAGAAGTCATACCATTCTGAAGCAGAGGAAATGGCACAATCTTTGAACAGAGAACTTCAGTCGTCAAAGGAAATGATTCTGTCTATTACTAAAAAATTTGAATATGTCCAAGAAGAACTTGAGAAAGCGAAATCTGTTATTGAAGCTCTTGAGTCTCAGCAATTTCTAATGATTAATGAGATAGAGGAACTCCGAAACTCTAACAGCAACTATGCTGAACTTTTGCAAAAACAGATGCTTGAAACCTCTTCTTTAAAGGAGCAAATTCATGCTCAAGAGTTTAGAGATCTCTCATCCTATAAGCATTCCAAAAATAATGATTCTCCTATAGAAGCAAAGTTGAAGAAGATGCACGATTCTCTTGAAAAGGCCAAGAGATTGAATCAGTGGTATCAAAGTGATAATTCGATTCAAGCATCTAAAGAAGAAGAAATGGACGAAGTCCGCAAGCAGGTTGAGGCAGAAACTGCTGAGGTGATTATTTGCTTGCAAGAAGAACTTGCTGTTCTTCAGCAAGAAGTCCAAGATAGTGGCTTGAAAGAGATGGATACCAGCGAGAGGTTGGTTCTATTACAAGCTGAGATGAAAAATCTGGAGGAGAATTTATGTACGAGGACTCAACGGAACATGAAATTAACACAAATGCTAGAAGACAAAGAGAGTCAATTAAGAAACATGTCGGAAGAATGGGAACGATTGACCATTGAGATTGAAGGTATTCTTACTGGTGGGCACGAGGCTCTCAAAGAAGTTTCTGACCAGCTGGATGATATTTCCAGTTCATTCCCTCGTAATAAAAATTTGATCTCTGAACAACTTGGAAGGTTGAAAACCTATTTTCTTGAAAAAGAAGTAGTAATTGAAGAGCTCAATCAATGCTTAAAGGATGCTATGGATAAGAGGAACTATATGGAATGCATGTTGAGGTCACTGAAAGGGGCGGCATTGGTAATGACCGAAACGCACCAGCATGAGTGCAGCGAAATGGACAAAGAGAATCTCCTTTTAACATCTGAATTAAACACTAAGACATCTGTTATTGAAGAGCTGGAGAGCATAATCAAACATGGAGAGGATCAACTTAGAAATGCATCATGCTGTGCAACAGCTGCTTTTGTGATTGTGAACCGGTTGTTTGAGTTGAATTCTAAGCATGTGATCGCTTTAAATAATAAGGATGTGCAGCTTAGACAAGCTAAAGAAATGATTATTCAGAAAGACACGATTCTCTACAATCAGTTATCAAGAACTGATGAGGCAGAAAAACAGAATGAGATCCTGAGAATGGAACTGAATTCATTAGAAGAATGCTGTGATAGACTAAAACTGCAGCTTTCCGAGGAACAGGTACATGCTAAGACTCTTCGGATGAAGCTTGAAGAAACTGAAGAAAATAATATCTTGGAAGCCAGGGAAAAACTCGTGGATCTAAAATCGGGAGTCTCAACACTGAAATTATGCATGACTGGGTATCTGGAAAAGATTGGAGGTCCTGGTGAAGATAATTCTCTAGAATGTTCTTCTTGTCTTTCTGCTGGAGACAAACGTCAAATGTGGGTAAGCTAATGTTTCTATTTCTCGAACTGTATCCTGGATATTCCAGGCAACTTATTTTGTTATTGGAAAAAAAGACATCTCTTAGTGATAAAAATGTAAGAAACAGGGTAGGACCTTTTTTACTATTGTTCATTTTTAATAAACGAAAATTTTTGTTAACTCTTTTCGAACCCCCTTTTCCCATAGAGATATTGAATAGAAAGGGGTATTTTGCTTGCCATTGTAATTTTGAAAATGAACGTTTAAATGCCTCTCAAAAGTAAGTAAAGAGGTAAATACATTTTTGTGTTTTCATGTATTATTATTTGGTCTTATCGCAGACTGGTAAAGGAACAGAACAGGACATCAGCCATGTAGAATCCTGTGTTCTTGAGGATGTGAGAACTGAGGCTTCAAAAGAAAAATTCAGTGCAAACCATATGGATGAATGCATAATTGATGGTAATTGTTCGGCTTGTGAACAGACTCTGATGGGTGTGAATGGTAGACATACAATCACTGCTCCTCTAAAGAAAGAGACAGAATCAGCCCTTCAGAGTGTTCAAGGACTGCAAGCCGAGATGGCTAAATTACATGATGAGAAAGAGGATGTCAGGATAGCTGAACAACGCTACCAGAAGAGCATTAAGTCATTGATGAATCAAGTAGCTGTGCTACAAAATTCTAATAATAATTTTGAAGTGGGATTTGAGCTAAAAATTACTGCTTTGGATGGCAAACTAAAGGGAGTAGAAGAAATCATAGAAGAATCTTGCACTTCCTGGTTCCAGCTTAAACAGGTAGGACATTATATATATAAAATTCTTATTTTGGAAATTGCCTATGCACTAGGCCATAATGCTCTATCTTTAGACCTGGACTTCAATTTTCATTTCCTATGCCATTCTTTCTTTTAACGTCACATTTTCTATTTTCTAGCATTAACCCTATTATCTTTACAATAACTATAACTATAATGAGAGAAAAATACAAATTGAACTTAAAAATTACAATTATATTCCATCAATACCACAATCATTTGTTGTAATACTACCGTCCATTTTCTGTAGTTACTCGAGGCTGAACTTGATGATGCCACAGCAGTTGCTGCCCAGAAATCCATTGAAGTTTCCTGTGTTCTTGAGAAATTTGAAGAGATGCAAGACACCATGAAAGAAGCAGACATAATTATAAATGAGCTGATGATGGCTAATGAAGCCTTGAAGCTTAACATTCATGAGCTGAAGGAAAAGGAGAACGCCTTGATTGATGAAAGAGGTATCCTTACTACAGAAGTTCAGAACTTGCAGTCCTCCAATAATCTGAAAGTTCTGCATTATGAGAAACTTGAGAAGCAGTATGAATCAGATATTGTGGATATGAAGAGCCTCGTATTGGAACTAGGAGAAATAGTTTCAGAGGTGCAAACCACTTCCACTGAAGACTGCAAGGCTATAGCATCCGATTTCCTAGACATGAAGTCCCAACTTTGTGAATCAACGAGATTGATCAGGTCATCTCTTGAAGATGTATGGTCGGAGATTGTCGTTAAGGATTTTGCCATGTCTGTTCTGCATCTTTGTCACATGGGAATTCTCTTAGAAACAGTGACTGGGCTCAATGCAGAAAATGGTCTTCTTCACTGTGGTCTATGTGAATCGAACTCTGCAATTTCTGAACTCCAGGAGCATAATTTTAGATCACAGAGAGAGCTTGAAATGTGTAGAATACTGAAGGGGAAGTTATTGGCAGATCTTAAGAAAGGTTTTGATGGTATCTCAAGCAAAGTAGACGAATCTGGGGAGCTCACACTAAAGCTTGCCTCCTTTGAGAAGAAGATACAGGATCTACAGTTACAAGAGGATTTAATGTTGCAACGGTCAAATCATATGGGATCTGAACTTTCTGTCCTAATAAAGGACCTTGATTTCAGTAACTCAAATGTATTAGCGTCTATTCTGGATCAAGAAAGACTAATAAAGGATAAAGATGAACTTCTTGAGTACCTGGAAGGGAATTTCTTGATTGAATTATGTGAAAAAGATTTTGAATTTTTAATGATGTCATCTGAGTTAAAGCAGCTGGCGCTCCTAAAAGCTGATGCCAAGAGTGCAGAAATTAGTTCCTATGAAGTCCTTGAAAACTTCAAGAAAGACATAATTTTCCAGAGCATAGATGCTGCTTCCAATGAGTTGATGTTGAAGGAGAAGGAAATTGAGCATGCTCTCCTGCAAAAAGAAGTTGAAGAAATAACAAGGAAGCAGCAGGAATTGTTGTCAGAGCTTGACGAAAGTTTCTCAACAATTTTCCGGGTGGAAACGGTAAACAATGCTCTTAAACAAGATATTCAGTCATTAAAAGAAATTGCTCATTCAAATAGTAGCTTGAAGGGTGCATTTGAAGAATTGGCGGAAGAAAAGACAACCTTGTTGTCCCAGGTTCAGAATCTTGAATCACAGCAAGCGAAGTTATTAAAAGATGTTGAGGTGAAGGAAGCAGCTCTTGAAACTTCTTCTAGTCATATATCTAAGCTTGATCAACAAAAAGGGACATTGCTGAATGACATCTGTTTACTGGAAACTGAATTGTGCAGGCTTCAAAATGAGGCAGATATGAAAGATGAAGAACTTAGAAAAATGAGCTGCCTTGAGAAGAAAAATGAGGCCCTGCAGTATGAGTTAGCAAAGGCAAAGACAGAGTGCTGCATACTTTTCCAGGATTTGGAGGATAAGAGAGCTGAGTTTGAATCATCTATCAAAGGTACTAATGACCTCGACGTCGAAAATCATGGATTGAAAGAGAATAAATTGTTGTTGGAGAATCACATTGCCAAGTTGAATGAAGATCTAAACTTTACAAGGAAAAAATTGGAAAACCTCCAACATTCTCAATCTGTAGTTGAAGACGAGTTATCTTCAAAAATTCAGGGTTTAATCGAAGAGAATGCTTTCTTGAGAAATAAACTTGAAGCTGGCAAGAATAATGAGTATGAATGCCTCAATGCTTTGAACGTGATGAAGAATGTTAATTTGATGAAAACTGTAGATACTATTGGTGACAAGATACTCAATTTAAATATTGAGAAAATTTTGGTGCTGGAGGATATGTTCCAAAAGATAGTTAAGGAAGTGGAGATGGCTTCCAAATTTTTTGAAGAGCTTGAATACCTGGAGAATCTTGTGACAGAGCTGAAATCTCAAACTTCCTCTCTTGAAATTGAGTTGTCCAGGAAGGATGATATTCTCAAGGGGCTGTTATTTGATTTGAGCTTGCTGCAGGAGTCTGCATCTAACAGTAAGGATCAAAAGGATGAGATTGAAGAACTTTTGGCCTCTCTAAGTGCCTTAGAAAAAGATTTTGATAAAAAATCGGGTGAACTGGACCAAGCTGTTGCCGAAGGTCAAAAACTTGAAACTCAACTGAAAGAGAAGGCAGCAACAATATCTGCTCTTGAAATGGATATTGTGAAAGAGCAAGAAACTATGAATTCATTGTCCCACAAAAATGATGAGTTGATGACCAATGTTAAAGATGCCTCGGATGCAAAAATGTCCATGGAGAAGGAATTGATAGAGAGAAACAACATAAACGAGAACTTGAGAATGGAAGTTGTTGACATGGGGGTTGCTCTTGTTGAAATGACCAAGGCGTCTGAATTCTTGAAGAGCAATTTGGATACCGTTGTCAGTCAGAGGGATGATCTTGAAGACAAAGTCCTTACTTTGACTGATGGGCTTGAGATGGCACGAGCAGTTGCTGATGAAAACAGAGCAATCGCTGTAGAAGCACAAGAGGTAATGTTGTCTTGGCAGGAAACTTTTCCAGCGAACTTTGTACTGAATTATCTGAACTGTCCCTTTAATCCATCTGTTTGGTTAAGACAGATTGCGAAAACTAGAAAAATCCATGCTGAGGAGAAGGATGAGGAAGTGAAACTATTAGAGCGGTCCATTGAGGAGCTAGAATGTACCGTGAATGTACTTGAACAAAAGGTATCCCTCTTCCTTAGATGGCTAGACCTATACGGGAATAATATTGTTTGTCCTTTCTTTGACAAGATTTTTGCTTTCTAAGGTTGGCATTGTCAAAGAGGAGGCTGAACGCCAAAGGCTGGAAAGAGAGGAACTGGAACTGGAACTTCATGCTGTTAAACAACAAATGCAAAATGTCAAAAGCAACGATTCTGATTCAAAAAGGTTTCAATTAGTTACTTAATTGAAATGGGTTTATTAGATATCTGTTTACAAATGTCTTATAAGTCATTGACTTCAGACAATTGGATGAAAATGAGAAGAACCGTCAAGAAGCTCTTCAACGAATACAAACTCTTGAAAAAGAAATAGCTGCCAGAGATGGAGAGGTAAAGTTGTTTCTCATTGGATGTATTGTCTATAAAAAATTTGTGTTAATTATCGTTGGTTGTTTTGTGTCAAATATTCGCCCTTAACATTATTGTTAATTTTGTTGTCTTTCTTCAACAGATAGCCCAATGTAAAGCTTATATATCTGAGCTAAATTTGCATGCAGAGGCACAGGCTTGTGAATACAAGCAAAAGGTAGGAATAATAGCATGTTTGGCTTAACTTAAAAACCAAAACGATTACTTATAACTAAATAAGTAAGGTTATTTTTTATTTTTTTAAATTATTAATCAAAGTTGGAATGAAGGTGTTTATTTTGACATAAAAATTTCAAAATAAATAACTTTTGGTTGAAATACCGAATTAATAGGGGATTTAATTAGGAATAATTGTTGAGGATTCCTCTTTCCATAGATAGAAAATATTGATTTATTGCAGAGAAAGTAGGATATTTGTGCTTTGTTTCTTTTTTTCCTATCTTTATTGTGCTATAAATAGGGCCCTAAAGTGCCCTTATTCAATACAATAATTAAGCAATATGGAAAATATTGTTCTATTTTTCATGGTATCAGAGCTAAGTTTGTCTAAACCTAGCCCTCAATGACAGAAGACACCACCAACAGTATGGGTTCAATGACCTCTAAATCACTAAGTAGCGAGATAGAAGCTGTTTCCATCATACTAAGAATTCATCCTTTCAGCTCACAATAGAAAATTTATATTCCATATTATGTTATTGGCCCAACAAGCAATCCATTTGCATCCATCGACTTTTCATTTATCTCTTAGCCTCACATCTCTTCATTTCATTGTCTTCTTCTTCACACCATTCACTGTCTTATTCACTTAGCATTTCTTCTTTCTCGGTTTCTTCTTCACAACACCGGTCAGCATTTTTTGTACAAAATCCGCAATTCTTCATCTCCGACATGCCATAAGGAACTCCGACACGTGTCGACGAAGTGTCAGAGACGTACTAGTGTCCTATACGTATCGGACACTGATACATTGACGCTGGCAATGTGTTCGTGCTTCACAGCCACCAAACTAAGAAAAGTTTAAATATGATACATCAATCAATCTACAATTAAAATCAGATTTCTACACTCCCCCTCAAATTAGATGGTAAATGTTGATCATATCGAACTTGTGAATAAAATCATCAAAACTATAAACTGAAAGAGAGTTAGAGAAAATCTTATTTCATTCTTGTGATGTTTTCACTTTTATGCACCAATATATAATATACAAATGGGAATCAAAAAAGGTAACTATCTAAACATGGAAAGAAAGATATTTCTAATCTCTAAATATAGCTATTAAATCATCCCATAATTCTAGAAATAATTACGGGATTTCTACAATAACGATGCAGTTTGTTCTTTTGTAGGGACATACGTCATACAAATAACTCCATCTTCTACTTTTTCCTTGATAAGTGTCTGTCTACCTCAACGTGTTTGGTTCGATCGTTTTGTACTAGATTCAGGGAAATATTGATTGCTTCCTTGTCACAGTATAGTTTGATAGGAAGTTGTACAGAGACGTGTAGTTCTTCCAACAGTTTCTTTAACCACAACCCTTTTACATATTTCTTGCGCAACAGCTTTAAACTTGTCTTCAGCACTACTTCTTGCTACTATATTTTGTTTCTTGCTTCTCCAAGTTACCAAGTTTCCTCATGCAGTAACGAGTAGTTGATCTTCTATCTTTTGTAGCCTAATCTTCATTTGTGAATACTTCTATTTCCTTACCTTCATTTTTCTTGAAACATAGTCTCTTTCCAGAGGAGCTTTTCAAATACTTGAGATTTCGATATACTACTTCCAAATGAGCTTCCTTCGGTAAATGTATATATTGACTTACTACACTTACGACAAATGGAGTGTCTGGTCTAGTGTTAGATAGATTACCACAAATGCAGTGTCTGGCTTTCCAACATCTTCTCCTTTCCTTCCTATATAAATCGCTTGGTTTGCATCCAAACATTCCTGTTTTAGATAGGGGATCATGAATGTATTTCCGTTGTGAGATACTGATACCAATTTTTTGACTTTGGGATTTCCATTCTTAAGAAGTATCTCAGTCGTACTAGGTCTTTTACCTCGAATTCCGTTACTAGGTGTTTCTTCAATCTTTCCATCTCAGTTATATTGTTTCCAGTTATAGCTATATCATCTACATATACAATTAAAATTTTTCTCTTACCACTCTTTGATTTTTAGAAGAACATAGTGTAATTTTACTATCCTTCCCCGACTTTTCAACACTTTAGCAAATCGATTAAACCTTGCTCTTGGAGATTGCTTGAGGCCATATTGGGATTTCTTAAGCTTACAAACTCAATTTTCTTCATTTAGAAGCCAAGTGGTATGTCATGAAACTTCTTCCTCCCATTCTCCATTTAGAAATATGTTTTTATTGTCGAGTTGTTGAAGTGGTCAATCCAAGTTGGCTGCTAAAGACAAGATGACTCGTATGATATTGTGCTTTGCCAGATACAAACGTCTCTGTATAATCTATGTCATAGATTTGTGTATACCCCTTTGCCACAAGGCGGGCTTTGTATCTTTCTACTGTTCCATCAACCTTATATTTTACATTGAACTCCTATTTACAGCCCATGGGTCTTTCCTTTCGATAGATCCATAACATCCCAAGTTTCATTTTTCAGTAGAACTTGCATTTCTATCATTGTTTCTTTCTATTTCGGAAATTTTAATGCTTCCTGAATATTCCTTAGAATTGCTGTGTTGTTAATGTTAGATGTAAAAGTATGGAACCTGTAGATATAGCATTATATGATATGAATTTAGAGACGGGGTGAAAAGTACATGACCTAGTTTATTTCCTGAGTGCAATGGGTAGATTGATGTATGGAGATTTAAACTCATGCGAATTTGGAGCTACTGCCAGTTCCAACGCACTTGGTGTTTCAAGTATGAGGTTCTCCTTTGACTTTAGCTTTGGCTTCCTTGAGCAGACTAGTATCTCATTGTTCTTTTGTTTTCCTACATCTCCAATGTTCAAGTTTTGTTCTATATGTGCCAAATGGAAACTTAAATCTATGTTTGAGGTATGTTCAGAGAGAGAGATCAAAATCGATGTACCTATCTTCACTCAAATTCTCCCCCTGGAGATAGGGCTTTTGGAATTAAGATGTCTTTTTAAAGAATGTGACATCAAGACTTACAAATATTCTTTTTGTGGCTGGACCGTAACATTTGTAGCTTTTTTGATTGGCTGAATATCTAATGAATACACATTTAACTACACGAGGATCTAGTTTATTTTGAGAGTGAATATAGACAAATGCAGTAAAATCAAATATCTTGAGAGGTAGCTTTTAGTGTAATCGTAAGGTAGGAAATAATCTTTGAAGTTTTTAGAGGGGGTGATTTGAAGTTAAGTGTGCAACTAAGCATTCGGTTGTTAAGGTAGGTAGAGGTTAGAATGTTTTTGGCATTTTTGTAGTGATCATCAAAGCACGAGCAACTTGAAGGATGTGTCTATTTTTGCGTTTGACAATCCTATTTTGTTGGAGATTGTCGACATAACAGCTTTGTTGGACTATCCCATATTTTTAAAGTAGTCTTTTATGAATGTGTTAGAGTATTTGGTACCATTATCAGTCCGAAAGATTTGAATGTGTTTGAATCTGTTAATTTTGGAAGAATAACTTTATCAACTAGATATTAAAAATTCATTCTTGAATGGGAGATTGGAAGAAGAAGTTTTCATGACATTACGACCTGATTTTTGCAAAGCTGATGAAAAAAGGGTACGTAGATTAAAGAAATCTTTATACGAGCTCAAGTAGTAGTTATCAAGAGCATGGTTTGACAAATATGTGAAGGTGTTGAAAAGTCAAGGATATTGTTAAGGACAGTCAAATCATACTATGTTTTTTCAACAATTTGATGATGGTACTAAAACGATTCTAATTGTACATATTGATGACATTATCCTGAGAAACAGGTGATAATATAATAGAGATGGAAAGACTAAAGAAGACCCTCGCCACTGAATATGAAGTGAATGATCGGAAAAAAGCATTAGTGTATCACAACGAAAATATGTACTTGACCTTCTAGTTGAAACTGGCATGCTAGGATGTAAACTGAGTGATACACTTGTGGATGCGGGAAAGAAAATTGAAGATGGAAGCAATCTAGTAGAAGCTGACGCATATCAACGACTAGTTGGAAAGCTAATCTACTTGTCCCATACCAAACTTGACATCGCATTCGCATTTAGTTTTGTAAGCCAACATATGCACTAAGGAAAGTCACCTAGAAGTTGTCTACAAGATAATCAAATATCTCAAAGGCTTCGCGAGAAAATGACTACTTTTCAAGAAAGAAAAGAAGTTGAAGTCTTCACAGATACGGATTGGGTAGGATCGATAGATGATCAGAGGTTAACTACTGGTAACTGTACCTTTGTATGAGAAAATCTGGTAACTTGGAAAAGTAAGAAACAAAATGTTGTAGCCAAAAGTAGTGTTGAAGCAGAAATATAACGGTAGCACAGGAAATATGTGAAGGATCGTGGTTGAGGAAGCTCGTGGAAGAATTACACGTCACAATAAAGTTTTCAATCAAATTTTATTGTGATAATAAAACAGTAATCAACATTTCTCTTAATCCAATCCAGTATGATCGAACTAAACACATAGGGGTGGACAGGCACTTTATAGAAGAAAAATTTGAGGAAGGAACCATTTGTATGACTTGTATATTCCCACATTAGAACAAACTGCGCATATATCTTCACCAAAAGATGGCCTATACAGAAATTTAGTGACTTCATCCGCAAGTTGGATATCGTCAATATTTACAATCCAACTTAAGAGAAAGTGTTGAAATCCCGACTTAATTGAGGATTTAATTAGGAATAATTGTTGAGGATTCCTCTTTCCTTAGATAGAAAATATTGATTGATTGCAAAGATTGTAGGATATTTTTACTTTCCTTTTATTTCGTGCGTTTCTTGTACTATAAATAGTGCCTTTATTCTGTACAATAATTAAGCAACATAGAAAATATTGTTCCATTCTTCACTTTTTTCCCCATAGGCATCACAGTCAATTACATTTTGAAGCATATAGGGATCAACCTCCATGACTAAACAGCATTAACTGCCAATTTTATGACAGTTCAAATCATTGGAAGCCATGTTAGAACAATTCAAATCTGAACTCCCTGCTACTCAAGAAACTTCATCATCCAACAAATTAGACAAAAATTCGTCAAAGTCTAGGGGAGGAGGTTCCCCTTTCAAATGTATTGGATTAGGCTTAGCTCAACAAATAAAGTCCAACAGGGATGAGGAGCTTAGTGCAGGAAGACAACGTGTCGAAGAACTTGAGGCCATAGCTGCAAGCAGACAAAAAGAGGTAGCTTTAACAAATGAATTATAGTATACTAAAATTTAAACATTATATCCACCTTGGTTCACATTCTCTGGCAGATATTCAGTTTGAAGGCTAGATTAGCTGCCACTGAAAGCATGACCCATGATGTGATTCGGGATTTACTAGGTGTAAAGTTGAACATGAACAGTTATGCGGTAAGTTTTGCAATCTGATTCATGTTTTTAGTCTCATTGTTTAAAGTTGAAAGTGTGTGCTGAGATTATACTTGGAAAATTAATTGCTGAATGAATTCAGATGTGAGTTGCATGACATTCTCATTTTCTTTGTCATTGCTAGACTTTAATGGATAATCAGCAGCTTCACACATTAATTGAAGAGTCTCAACATCATGATGTTGAAGCTCAAGTTAAGGTGCTCCTTGTTTCCACTCAAGTTAGGAACAATTTGCTACAATAACTGTGATTCTGAGTTGAATTTACGTCTGAACTGGACTACTTCATGCTTGCAGGAACTGGAAGTAGTTAAACAGCAAATAAACGAATTTATTAATGAGAGGAATGGGTAATCGACTCTATAATTAAATTGGATATTAGTAGCTGAACTTTTAAATTCCCTGACATGCCAAAATTGTACTGAAATCTTATCCTAGATGGCTGGAGGAGATTGAGAGAAAACAGGCTGAAATGGTGGCTGCACAGGTTACCCTGGAACAATTAAGCCAGAAAGATCAGCTGCTCACAACTGAAAACGAGATGTTAAAGGTAGAGGCTTGCAAAGATCTTAGTATATTTTCGCCCCAACATGATTTCAGAAAGAACTCTTTTTTCACTTTTTGATTTTGATGTTCAACTTCTAATTCTCCCAGGCGGACAACATTAATCACAAGAAGAAGTTGATGGAACTTGAAGCCGAAGTCAAGAAATTGTCTGGTCATCAAAATCTCCAACAATACATCCATCACCACACTAAAATCAAGGCAAGTCACTTAATTTTCCCCGTCAACTCTAATCAGGAGTGCAAAACATTTCAGACAAAAATGGCTTCCCAAGATAAATGAAGGCCAGCTTTGTTATCAATGACCTATGTTTCTTAGGAAGCCAATTCCAAGAGTGAATAAATAAGTTTGTTGATGCCTAATGCCGTTTGTTTTCTTGTCATTGGAAAAATCATTTTTAACATTTCTGCATTCAGATTGTTGACTGGAAAATCTTATAATGTTACAGGAAGAGAACAACTTATTGAAACATCAAAACGAAGACCTTAGCATCAAACTACGAAGAACTGAGGCTATTCTTTCACGTGTCAAAGAAGAGCTAGCACGCTTCCATGCATCAAATGGGCTAAACCCTTTTATTAACTTTGATGAGGAGCAACAGCTGGATGACAAATTAAAGGTTTGTGTGTAACGTGAAGTTGTATTTGCAAAAAAGAAAAACTCATGCCCAAGAAAGAGGGGGAGAGAGAGAGAGAGAGAGAGATAGAGAGTTGACAATTCTAAAGGCTAGATTTATCTGAAACAGGAAACTGAAGAGGAGAGGCTGCAATTAGCACAGAAGTTAATTGGCTTGTGTACTAGCATACTAAAGGTCAGAGAACTTCGTCCATGAGATCTTAAAGTATATTTTTTATCATTAAATCAAAACTATGCTCTATTCATTCTTTCATATTAATATATGGCCCTTTAGAGCACAGTTTTTTCTGGTTCAAGTAAACCTCATCTTTACCACGAATCACTTTTCTTAGTTGACTATAATTGTGGTTTTGCCAATATATGTGATTTAATTTTTGAAACTCATTCTTTAAATTAAAGCAGCTGTTGAGTTCCTTAATGTCCATCTATGCATGTTTTATGCCTGCAACATTATAGTAGAATCCTACTTGTCAAATAACAAGAAATAAAACATCCATTAGGTTTAGCTCATGTCACTTTTCGAATTGTAAAAACAGGCTGCCGGAATAAGGAGATCAACATCTGATATAAGTCTATCCGTAGCTGAGGAAGCACTTGAGCAGCTGAAGAATCGAGTCATTTCTCTTGAGATGGAGCTACAAGATGTTAAACTTAAGGTAAATATCGAGGTAACTTCATTTTTCTTCTTCTTTATTCCTTGATCGTGTACTTCATTCATGCACGTTTACCTATGCTTAAAAGTTTTACTTATAAGTGTACTTCTAAGTAAATAAGTTTTAATTGAACTCCATTTCTTATTTTTCAGAATAGAATGTCTGATGAAAGAAGTAGATTGTCTGATCACAGGCAACAAACTTCAGTAGTGAGCTCCCGAAATAGAGTATCTTAAACTCCATTTCTTTCTGCTTTGGATTGATAAAGGACGATGATCAAGTGGATTATTTGGGTTAGCTTTTCGCTAGCAGCTTTAGTGAAGTCGGGTTGATCCCTGATATATTTTTTTCACACACTTCCATTTATCAAAAGATTCAGAATGATACGAGTTGTAAATAAATTATAAATATAGGTTGTGATACATGAAATTATATTATTTTCTGTGGACAAAATACAATGAGAAATACCTTATTTTTTAGCTAACTTTTACTTATTTTTATTATTGTGCTTATACATCAACTAATGTGTCTGTTAATTTTACCCAAGGGTAACAAACCGTCATTCAAATTATCTAAAATTAAATTCTATAGCCACAAAAAAAAGCTGGATTTACATAAATACTCCTGGATTTGTGTTGGTAAAATTTCAAAATGCCAAAACTAATTGAATAAAACGTTTTTGTGACCATGAGATGTCATACGATAAATGAGACTTGCCAACTCTGATTTTAGGGGCATTCAGGCCTGATTTATAACCAAAATGTCTTAATAAATCAAATTAAATTTGTAAAAAATTAAGTAAAAGAACTAATATCAATGTTTTAAAAATTGACTCGAAAAAGAAAGTGGGTCGAGATTTAAATGGTCAAACCGGGATCGAACCGATATTGAACCAATGACAAATTAAATAAATAAATATACAAATAAAATATAAAATATCATAACTATAATAGATTTTTAAATTTTAGTTTTCTCATTCAAAGTAAATATAATCCATGTTTGTTTATTAGATTTATTGTAGTAATTTATTTTATAACCTCAAAAATTAACAATCAATATGTCAAAAATAATTTGCTTTCTTCAAATTGAAAATTATAATCTTGTTGGGGTTTATGATTTGTTAATGAAAATAATGATGTAAACAAGTAAACACTTGGAAAGTTAGAATTGACAATTGGCTATTATCCCACATTGAAAAATTACCACCACATTGGAAGAAGAATCTCCTTTAAAAAGGGTCTAGTATTCCATATTGAAAGATTACTAAAACATTGAAAGAATGGTTGTCTTTAAAAAGGAGGTAAAGGAGAATCACTTGTATAAAAAAATTATTTGGGGCTTCAATTGCAATGGGTGACCCACTAAGATAGTTAAAAGTTTTTGTGCAAAAAAAATAAATTAAATCACTCAAGAAAAATCGTGGCCAATTTACTGGTTCACGGGTAAACCGGCCGGATTGATGGTTTATTAGTTGATTCTTTATTTTTCGGTTAATGTATGAGTACCGAACATGATTAAAGGCCGGTTCACTGATTTTTCGGTTGAACCGATAGGTTCGATTCGATTTTTATAACATTGACTAATATGCATCATAAAAAACCAAGGAAACAATTCAAAAATACCATTAAAAATTCAATAGTTCCATTCTTACTTTTAATTATAATTTTTCTCAAAAGACTTTTTTTATAATTATTTTACAATAAACATAGTGAAACAGTGTATAACATTTTGTAAAATTGTGTTACAACTTACAACATGTCACCGCCTGTGTTTGGGTTGGCGCCACCACCAATATCAATTGTAATATAGTGTGTTATAGACGTTTTGCCTGTTATTTTCACTGTCACCATGGTCACCACCACTACCACCATCATTACCTTTTTTAAAATTTAGTGTTACACCACCATCACCATTGGTCCCAAAACTTAACATATATTATTGCACAATAATGCTCCTCAAACAGGGTAAATGACAATGGGGAGTTGATAGGGATGGCTGGCAAGGTGGGATTAGGTTTTGTATTTTTTAAAATTTTTTCTCAAATTGTCTAATTATGCATTGATATTTTTCCCCTCCGTCGTTGAATCTATCACTGTAGCAAGATTGATTATTTCACACCACCTACAACATTTATTGTTACATGTCGTTGTCACCACTTATTCTAACATCTATTGTTACACTATTACTACGAGGCTACTACCACCACCTGACACTGTTGCTATCATCACCACTTGTAACATACTATATACACTACCAACATCACGTCACTATCGTCATTGCCATTGTCATCGCCACAACTGCCACGACCATCTCTCCAAATCACTAAATCTACACTATCCACCAACATCACCTTCATCTACACCACCATAACTATGACAAATAGCCTTCACCATCCGCCTCCTCTGACTACCTTCAAAACCACAAAGGCAAAAACAAGAATAGTACAAACAAATTTCGATGAATTCAAATCTGGTTATATATCTAACAATAGATTTGGTTTCAAAAACTAGATTTGAAATCTGGTTGAAAGAGAGTTACCGCTAACTCCAAGTAATCACAATGGTGGTGGTGGGTTCTGTGATTGTAGATGGGTACGACAGTGTTTGTGATGCATGGAGTGGTAGTGGTGGTGGTAGCACATGGTGGTGAAGAAGATCTGGATATGGGTGGTAATGGGCTGAGTTGAGGTAGTCCTCTACCCTCTTTTTCGATTTTACTATCATGATTATATTATTTTTAATGTTTTAAAAAGGTGGGATAATTTGAGAATTAGGCTAATGAGTTTGCCCTAAAAGAGTCGCTTCAAAATATTTTTAAACAATATTTGTATTTTTAAGTAAATAAATGGATAATCGGGATGGGGCGTGATTGATTCGAAACCGCCCTGTTCGTCCTGTTGCGTTTTGCAGATTGAATTGTCATCCCTAGATCTGGTGCTGCTTGGTTGTGACTAGGGCATAGTGTTTCTTGGGCAGTGATGTTTGATAGTGGACGATGGTCGAAGGTGGTGATGGTAGTAGTGTTTTTTGATTTAAGGTTTGTGATTGAGTTTTTGTGTGTCCTATTCATTAGTGTGTGTGGAACTAAAAAAAAGAAAAAGAAAAAAGTGTTTAGAGATGAATAAGAGTGGAAGGTAACTTTTGAAATTCAAAAATAGACATGGTTGATGTAATTTTCACTAAAACCCAAATTGCAGTAATTTTAGAAGGGAAAATTTTATAACTAAGAATTTAAGTATCATACATTTTAAAATTAAGAAAACAAGTTTCAAATTTCAAAATTCAGATATTCATTAAATTTTATTTATAATTTAATTAATGAATTATATATTTAATTAATTAAATATATTAAAGTCATAGATCTATACAATTTGATCACAGATTCACAATTTAATTACTCACATATTATTTTTTGGTCACAAATCAAAATTTTTTATGTCAAAATTATTTTACAGTCATAATACAAAACTTCTGTAGGTCATAAATTTGTTCGTCGATCACAAATCAAAAAATTACACGTCACAATTTATTTATAGGTCGTAAATCACAAATATTATATGTCATAACTTATTAAATAGTCACAAATTATTAATTTTTTAGGTCACACATTATTTTTCTGGTCACAATTTATCTTTCTTATCGGTCACATTGGTCTAACCAATTTAATGGTCACAATCAACCCAATTAATTTGTGACCATCACCAAACAATCACTGCCACCCGTCGCTGTCGTAGACACTACTACTATTATACCAATAATACCACCACTGTAACACCAACAACACCATAGCTTTAACCACCACAACCCACCACCACTATCACGATGAACATCGCACGGATCGACACCTCAAACACCGTTATTGCTTCCATTTTCAGATCGACCACCCCAAAACCACTGCCACTGTTGCGACGAACACCACACTAATCAACGCCTCAAACGTTGCTGCTGCTTCCATTTTCAGATCGACAACCCCAAAACCACCGTGGTCGTATGCGACGAGCACATCGATGACCAACAGCGGTGTCGTGAACACTGCTACAACCTGAACTGCAATGCTACCTACACCACCGCCACACACTGCCACACCACGAAAAACACCATCACCAGACCAGCACACCACATCCACCACCGCCAGATCCGCCACCACCACACTACGCAACCACCACACCACGTCCACCTGCATTTACTTTGGGGATTAGAGAGACGAGAGAGAAATGTAGAGAGAGAGAATATTGGGAAATTAATTAGGGTTCGTGTGTGTAATGGAGTATATATAGTTAGTAAAAATATTTATTTAAAAAAAATATTAATTAAAATAAAATATCTGATTTTTGAAAGATTAAATTACCCATCTTATTTTAAAATTATGATTTTAAAGTAGGGAATTGTGTAATTTCCACATTTTAGAATGTATTTGTCTACACTTAAATATGTATTGCAGTTGGACCATAGCCTAGACAACTCTAAACTGGGCTGTGGTCCATACATAAACTAACTATAGTCAACAGCCCAACCATGTGCCTGTCCTGAACTGGTGTCACAGCTCACAGGGTTAATTTCACAATTATGCTTCTTGTTGATTAAATGGCTTATGGGCTGGTATGCGAGTGATTTACTAATCTCTTGGGAGCGGAATGCATTTATGTTTTCTTTGCCTAATGAAAATAACTTGTCCCACTTTGCACTTCACTTGTTTAACCTTTCAAAAAGGTACTTATAATTAACATTATTTTACACACATGTATGTATAATTTATTGTTTTTAATTTCTAACTAAAAAAATTATGAAAATAAAAAAACTTAGTACTATAGATTTTTATCATTAAAAGATTTTATTTATTTTAAATGTACTCACTAGTACAATTATAGGGCTAAAATATCTCAATTGTCATTGTGCATTTTCGATATCTCCAATGGCTTTTGAGCTTTAAAAGCTCCTCAAATTGCCATTGAACTTTTTCAAAATATTCTCAATAGCCATTAAACTTTAAATTTGTTGAATTGTCACCGAACTTGCTAAAATGCTATCACATTTGTCACTTCGTTACTTGTTGTTTCAAGAATTAACATAATTGATGAACTTATAAAAATATCACCTCATCCATCACTCCATCTACCATGTCATTTAATTCGTTAACTTATAAAATGAATAGTGACGGAGTGACAGATGAGAAATCATTTTAGTAAGTTAAGTGATAACCCGGAGAGTTTTAAAAGTTCAATTACAATTGAGAAATATTTGAAAAAATTCAATGATAATTGAGATATTTAAAACTTTACGTAGGTTTAGTTATTCTTAATTTTTTAAGCTTGACCTAGCATGCTCTAAAATTCGAGATGACTTGGGAAAAGAAAAGGCATTAGGCTTCTTTTTCTATGTTCACTAAAAAATACATTAACTTGACCATGTATGAAATGATGCAATCTCTATAACTCTTGTACTTTGGCATGTGCATAATAAGTTTTGCCAGCTAAAAGGTA